TATATATATAGATAGATATATGCAGTATATATAATGTTCCTTAGTGCAGCTTGGTAATAATATTGTCTTCTTAATGTAAATGTTTTGAATCACTCCAAATGAGTGATACACTGTATGTCCATTAAACAATATTGCAAATTGCAAGTCAAGTTTCTAAAATCCAGTCCTTAATGGCCACTAAAGTTTTCCAGGTTCAAGGTAGAGGAACAGCTTTGTTAATTACACAAAACTCACAAAGCAGCCACTGTTCATATTCCTTGTCCTATAGTCACATAGCCCCATCCCTCTTGTCTGTGCAGGCAAGAAGAGCACTTGCAGCTTGATACTAATTCTCGTAGAAACAATTGCCGCACAAATGACTGATATCACAAGCTGGACAATGATTATTCCCGAAGTGTCATGTACCTGATTGGAGACTCCCAAAGACTGGAGTTGGGAACAGAGTCTGAGTGGACAGCAGCACAGGTGCCAGTGGTGATCACACCATGCAAGCTGGAGTCCCGGCACTGGATCGGTTCAAGCTGAGCTGTAGTCAACACCAGGCAGGCAGCGGAGTGCAGAGCAGGATCCAAAATCATGGTCAAACAAGCCAGGGGTCACACTACTCGAGCAGTGAGGTACAAAGGCAGCAGACAGGGGCAGATCCAGTAAGCAAGCAGAAGGTCAGGGGCAGGCAGCAATCAACGTGGTCAAGGATAATCCAGGTCAGAAGTCAGCAAGATCAACAGAAGCACAAGCAACAGAGGGGGAGCAGAAAGACAATCCAGTAACTTGGAGTCAGGCAGGCCAGTTTAAATAGGGTGATCCATCAGAAAACAGCATCACTTCCTGTGTGCCATTTGGCACGCGTTAGTGCGGCCGTCCCGTGGCGCACGCGCATGCAAGTAGCAGGTGGTTTCTGACACAAAGTCAAAGCATGCTGTAAACAAACACAGGCTGCTCCAGCTCTCTAGAGTTGGAGCAGCCTGTGTTTGTTTACAGCATGTTTTGACTTTGAGAATAATCATCGTCCAGCTTGTGATATCAGTCGTTTGTGCGGCAATTGTTTCTACCAGAATTAGCTTTGTTAATTAGGCGCAAACAAGTGATATCACCTGTGATCATACGAAAAAAAATCTGAAAAACTGTTTGCTACTTATGCTAGCATTGAGACATATTGAGGGGAATTTATCAAAACTGAAGTAGACAAAATCTGGAGCAGCTGTGCATGGCAACCAGCATCCACCTTTCATTTTCAAACCTTAACTGAACAAACTGACAAGAGAAGATGATTGGTTGCCATAGGCCATTGTATAGGGCTTGAAAGACATAATTAAACCAACATAAAACCAACTGATTGCATGGAATAAACTTGGCATCCATTCATTCCTGCCCAGCCTTTAAAGATCATGTTCCTATGTAGTTTACGTTAGTAATTATTTAACTGCTATAGATATGCCTTGTGCACTATTTATTCAGAACCAAAAATAAATTTTATAACATGTCATTTGGTTTTCTGGATCCTGGAAAACCAATAATATGCAATTTATCAGCTCTCGGGTGCCCACACATATAGGATGCTTGGACATGCAGGCACAACTGAGCCTCAGTCAAACAATACTCTCAGCTTTCTGCAATATGTATAAATATATTGTATATGCCCATACTAGCCCAGTAATCACCTTTTTTCTGGTTTACCTAATGTCAGTATAGTACGGGTTGACTCCACCCCCTTGAGCCCACAGGACCACCCTCTAACTAATAAAAGGGAGAGAGTTCCTCTAGACCAGTGTTCTTTTCTGGTCCTCGCTCCAGGCCACCTTATTTTTGTTTTCCGTTAGATTTTAAGTTCAAACTCTTACTGTTGGAATGAGTAAAGAACCTCCCTACTGCGCTCCCATCCAGGTTCAGCCTGCTCTAAAGTTGGAGGACCCCCTTGTTGTCGGTAAATCCAACTGATATAGGGCGCCCTGTATTGACAGGCTTTTCTTATGTCTGGGTATCTGTGTAGCTTAACAGCGGACTTGTTCAAGAGTAGGATAGTGTGGCCTGTTGTTTCCTTCTGATGCTCCTTCTCTTCGAGACTCATGGTGTCTCATGCCGAAAGTGGATGTGGACATCGTCTCTGTTTGTGCACTAGCCCCATAGCAGGTCATCTCCCTTCTCCCTTTAGATAGTTTTATTTGAGAGGCAACAGCCAGTAATATTGTACAGACACCATAGATAGTATTTAAATATTTGGAGAAGGCCACATGTTCAAAGGACACCCACTATGCAACTTTTCAGCCCATTGATGCCCATTAAAGTGTCTATATTTCACAGAAAAAAGGAGGGAATACTGTACAGACTCCATAAACAGTATTTAAACCCTTGGGGGGCTATTTATAAACACTTCCCTCTTGCTGTGAATATCTGCAGCATTGGGCAAATACACCTTAGATTGTAAGCGAATACACTTTAGATTGTAAGTTCCTTGAGGGCAGGGACTAATGTGAATGTACAGTTTGTAAAGCCCTGCAAAAATTGTCTGCGCTATAAAAATGCCTGTAATAATAAATGCCTGTGGTTATAGTGCCAAAACAAATGTTCTTAATAAATGTTATTCCAGTTAGAATGTAGTGTGTTGTAATAATACATTATGGCCACTAGATGGAGCTGAGAAGCATAGGAAATAAATATTTAATTTGTATGCTCCTTAACTATCTACTGGCCATAATGTATTATTACAACACACTACTTTCAACCAGGAAAAAAAAAGCAAGTTAAAATATGAATAACTAAATGTTCACGTATACACACTCACAGTGGGTGTACATTCTAGTGCCTTGTAGCTGTTAGTTTGCTTATTGGTGCAGTTCATTTTTATATATATACTGTATATATGAACGTTCAAATATATTCACAAGGTGGAGGGCCATGCAAATTGTTTAAATAAATAGATCCCTTGGAGTAGGGCATATTTTGAACAGGAGGGATAACAGTCATATTTAATGAAAAAACATTAGACTGTTTTGGTTTAACAGAGAAAAGTCCGCAAAATATTGCACTGACTTCCATGCACAGTATGTAAGCACTTTTACTAGTCAGCAGTTTAACAAGGAGAGATCAGAAAGGTTTTTACCCAAACAAAAAAGAGTGCACTATTTTAGAGAGACAGTAGCATGCCTCCCATCTTTTAACAAAAAGGGACAATTGTCAAACGGGAAATTAACAAAGAGCTAACATTTTGTCTGAGACTACCTTAAAGACAAACTTAATTAACATAATCAGAAACTACTTAGCAACCAGCAACTCTTGAGACAATAAACACTTTGGTCAGAAGTTTGTAATGTTCAGCGATAAGAACTTTGTTTCGTACAACACAATGCACAGAGTGCAGCAGTATGTGTCATAGTGCCTCTTGTATTGCTGGTCAGCAAGAGGAAAAGTTGTCCGCTGTCTGTGGCTAGCGTCCCTGGAAATCTGGAGAAAATATTGCCCAGCATTGATGGCCTGGGGGAGGAATAGTGCCTGGTGTCAGTGGATAGGGGAGGAAAAAATGCCCAGTTCTGGTGGTTAATGGGAGGAAAAATACACAAAGGGAAATGTATCAACTGGAGCAGACAGATTTCAGAGCAGTTGCCCATAGCAACCAATTGGCTTCTCTATTTCATTTTCAAAGCTTAACTGAACAAACAGAAGAGAGAAACTGATTGGTTGCCATAGGTAACTGCTCCAGATTCTTCTGATCCAGTGTTGATAGATTCCCTCCACAGTATTTGTGGTCAGTGAGAGGAAACTATTCCTGGCATTGGTAATTAACTGGCGGAAAAAAACCCAGGGTTAGTGGAAGGAAGAAATGGTTGGCATTAGTGGTCAATATGAAAATAAATGCCAGATTGGGGGAAAAAGGGGGCATTGGTGCTCAGTGGAGGAAAAGGGAGAACCCGGTACTCGGTTGACACTGGTATTCTGCGAAGGGAGAGGAGGAACACTGGTATTCTGCAGAGGGAAAGTAGGGGCACTGGTACTCTGCAGAGGGGAAGTACATGCACTGGTACTCTGCAGAGGGAAAGTACATGCACTGGTACTCTGCAGAGGGAAAGTACATGCACTGGTACTCTGTGGAGGGAAAGTAGGGGCACTGGTACTCTGTGGAGGAAGAGGAGGGGCACTGGTCCTCTTGGAGGGAAGGTAGGGGCACTGGTACTCTGCAGAGGGAAAGTAGGGGCACTGGTACTCTGCGGAGGGAAAGTAGGGGCACTGCAACTCTGCGGAGGGAAAGTAGGGGCACTGGTACGCTGCGGAGGGAAAGTAGGGGCACTGGTACTCTGTGGAGGGAAAGTAGGGGCACTGGTACTCTGTGGAGGGAAAGTAGGGGCACTGGTACTCTGCGGAGGGAAAGTAGGGGCACTGGTACTCTGCGGAGGGAAAGTAGGGGCACTGGTACTCTGTGGAGGGAAAGTAGGGGCACTGGTACTCTGTGGAGGGAAAGTAGGGGCACTGGTACTCTGTGGAGGGAGAGGAGGGGCACTGATACTCTGCAGAGGAAGAGGAGGGGCACTGGTACTCTGTGGAGGGAAAGTAGGGGCACTGGTACTCTGCAGAGGGAAAGTAGGGGCACTGGTACTCTGCGGAGGAAAAGTAGGGGCACTGGTACTCTGCGGAGGGAAAGTAGGGGCACTGCTACTCTGCGGAGGGAAAGTAGGGGCACTGCTACTCTGTGGAGGGAAAGTAGGGGCACTGCTACTCTGTGGAGGGAAAGTAGGGGCACTGGTACTCTGTGGAGGGAGAGGAGGGGCACTGTTACGCTGCAGAGGAAGAGGAGGGGCTTGGTACTCTGCGGAGGGAAAGTAGGGGCACTGGTACTCTGCGGAGGGAAAGAGTGGGCACTGGTACTCTGCAGAGGGAAAGGAGGGGCACTGGTACTCTGCAGAGGGAAAGGAGGGGCACTGGTACTCTGCGGAGGGAAAGGGTGGGCACTGGTACTCTGCATAGGGAAAGGAGGGGCACTGGGTCTCTGCAGAGGGAAAGGAGGGGCACTGGTACTCTGTGGGGGGAGAATAGGGGCACAGGTGCACTTCTGATGGAGAGAAGGGGCACTGGTACTCTTTGGAGGAAGAGGAGGGGCACGTGTCCTGAGCCAAGGGAACATGCACAGTTGTGCACAACGCAAAAGTGTAATTTTGCTCTAAGGGTTTGTTCACACCATCTTCAGACCAGATCTGGATGCATTTCTGCAAATGCATGTATGTGCATTTTTGATGTATTCCGGTGCGTTTTTTGTCTCGGTTGGTGTTGGTTGGTTTTAAAGGGCATTCCAGTGCATGTATGCATGTGTTTTTGCATGCGTTCCATTGAAGAAAATGCAGCATCCTGCATTTTTTAAAGCTCTGGAACTGAGCACAATTGTGTAAACTAGCCTCATTTTTTCCATTGGAATTGCTACTGATGTGAATAGGCCCTTAGGGCTGTTCTGTTAACATGAGGAAACACCCATGCATAAAGAGCTCTACATACACATAAACCTATTTTTTTTCCCTTAACATAAAACTGTCATAAGAGAAATATGTGAGCTGCTTTTAGGGGCCCATTCACACCAGTGTGGTAATGCGTGCTAATGCAATGCATTAGTGTGCTGCAGTGCCACTTATGGCTCATTCAGATGGGTGCGTGTGTCCAAGTGTGGGCACCCGGACCTGCACGCATGTACAGGTTTGGGAGTGCGTGAGAGTGCTGTGTAATTGTGTGCAGCCGCGTCCTCCCATTGGAAAGAACAGGCTCCTGTCTGCAATAACACACTCCTGTCCCTTCTGGGATTTTACAGGTATGCACACTGTATGGAAGTGCCTGCCTGTCTGAATGAACCCTTATTGTGAATGGCACCCCATCACACCTTAAAAACACATGTACGCTGCAATGCATGGCAGCAAGACGTACACCCTGGAATTCTAAAGGGTTTTCGTAGGCACTCATTAGGCCCAACCTGTGTCAGATTCATGTAACTATCAGTGTGTGTGAATCTGTTACAGAATTGCCTCAGAGTTTTGACTGTGACACAATACTTACAAGTGCCACACAATTTACTCTATCATGGAGAAGGTCTTATTTGCCATCACTTTTCTTATCACCGATATTTCTTAATGAATTTGTTGCACCAATGGCACCAGGATGTATAAATGTTGCAAGAATTTGTCTCATTCATTAGAAATGGAAAGAAAACCGTGGCATGGCTTTTGTGAATTTGGCACAGGACTTTTGCACTTGTTGTGGTGCTTCTCAGGCCATTCATATTTGCAATGCACGTCAGTGTGTGCAGCATTTTGGTGCAAATTGGCCCTCACTGTCTGTCTTCTAAAAACGACCAGGCTGCTAAGCTGACACTCTAACTTCATCAATGCAATATGTTCCAGGTCAGTGACTCAAAATATTAGGGCTAGTTCACACCAGGTGCAGAGCAGAGCAGTTACAGAACGGATCAAAACTGCGTCCAATGTATTCCAATAGGTATTTCGGGCACTAGTTTACGCAGCAGCGTTCAGTCCCAGAGCATGTGAAAAAACTGCAGCAAGCCCTATTTTTCCTGCTCTGGAACGCATGCAAACACCAATTTGTTTTTACAAAAACAGCCCAGAACGCATCAAAAACGCGGCAAAACACACTGCACTGCGTGTGCAGAAACTTATGCAGGTCTGGTCTGCATTTGATGTGAACAAGCCCTTAAAGACAAAGGATAACTAACATTTTGAGAAAAATAGATCAGAGCCCTGTTTCTCCTGACAGGCTATGGCCGTGATGATGTGATCTTACGCTGCAATACTAAATAGTGTTAATGGAGTCCTAATTAAATGGAAGACTCCGTGTTCAGAATATACGCGATGCCTGACTTAATTTTATGTAAATAAACTGATGGTCCAGCGCGCGCGCCCAGAGAAGCTGCCTCTAGTAAGATGGCGCCTGTGCGCCGACAGGCATACACTGCGCATGCTCCGCCGTACCGGAAGTCCCGGGGAACGATTCCGGAGCAGCGGGAGAAGTGGGATACGAGGCAAGTCGCGGAGGAACAGGTATTTGGTGTAGGCCTGGCGTGTGTACACATATTATCGCGGTGATATGGCTGCACGCATGTACCTGCAGCCGCTGGTAAAATACAGGGGAATAGAGCGGGTGGGGGGGTGCAGCCTGTGACCTCTTCTAGGCGTACAATAGGCGGCATGGTGATATGGTGTAATTATCATGTGCAGCCACTGTAGGTGTTTATTATTTGTAGTGTGCATAACGGTCTGCATCGTGTATGTGTGTGCTCGTCACCATTGTACATGTAGAGCTGTGTGAGTGATGCTCGGGCAGGGAGCAGACCCCCTCCTCCTCCTTCCATAGGAAGCTAGGCAGTGTGTGGGGGGTGCTGCTCCCCACCCCCACAACACAGCTCACTCATCAAGCTCTGTGCTTCCCTCTCCACTCACCTACATGGGACATCAGACATTCCTCCTTTGTTCACTGCTCACTATTGGCCTGGGTCTGTTACTTGCAGTAGGATGTGAAGGTGGTGTTACTGGCTGCCCTATAATGATCCCATTGGTGTGAAGACAAAAAGTAACATATCACAACTCTCCAGTTCTTGGATGGGGTTGCTGCATTAGGTTTAGTTTTCCAAGCTTCATGTTTACCTGGTGATCCTGCCTGTAACATGCACTTCCTTTCCTAGGGTGACAATGCTCACTCACTGTATTGAATCTGTAGAGGAACAGCATTGTCGCCAAGCACAGGAAGTGGTAGGACTACAGAACACCTCCTCGTCACATTTTTATAACGTAGTAGGGGGTTCTGTAGTCCTAAGATACTAAAGTTGGCCATAGACGGCTTGAATTTCAGAATCGGTAGAAATTTGAGATGTGGGAGGCCCTGCAAGCACCACCAGACTTAACAAAAGTCCATTTAAAAATGGACTGAATCCTGTTAGATGCAGCCACTGTTCAAATAGCAGTGGGTGTGCAGCGGCTTTATAAAGCTGCCACTGGAGATTTATTATTACAGGTATTTATAGAGCGCTGACAATTTACAGAGTGCCCATTCACATCAGTCCCTGCCCTCACGGAGCTTACAATCTAAGGTCCCTATTAAGGATGTCCCGATACCCCTTTTTCAAGACCAAATACTTCCCCTCATGTACATTCTGATACCAATTACTGATACTTTTTCTTAAAGGGACAGGTGACTTTAAATGATCCATAGCACAACTACATGTTATGTACTATGGATCATGATTTACCTATTCATGTTAGCAGGGGAGAATTGTAAATCGATTGCTGTAGTGGAGGTGTGTGCTGTATGCTGTATATATGTACTACATATACATTACACACGTCCAGTACACTATAGCAATAGATTTACAGCCAGCCCTGTCCCAGCTTCCCTCACTCAGTTTCACTCCGATCCCTGTTGCCTCACGCGGTGCCTCTTGTAGTCGGCGCTGGGCAGAATCGCTGCATTGCGTCTCGGTGCTCAGCTTGTGGGAGGCGCTCCCAATTCTGCCCTGCTAACATGAATAGGTTAAATCATGTAGTTGTACTATGGATCTCATTTAACCTATTCATGTTAGCAGGTGATCATTGTAAATCTATTGCTGCATTGTATTGGGAATATGAACTGCACATGCACTACATATAGAATACACTGCGGCAATAGATTTACAATTCTCCCCTGCTAACATGAATGGGTTAAATGATCCATAGTACATAATATGTATTTGTACTACGGATCATTTAACCTATTCAGATTAGCAGAGGATAATTGTAAATCTATTGCTGCAGTGTATAGGGAATGTGTACTGTGCAGTACATATAGAATACACTGCAGCAATAGATTATTGTTGTTCACACTAAGCCCAGGCCCCGCCTCACTCACGGTTGCCTCGATCGATGTGCCGAACGATTTTCCTCACACGTGAGGACGTCGTCGGTGCTGAGCTGGAGAGGAGCGTCGTATCACTGCTGCTCCGGTGGGCGGCGCACCAGGTGGGGTCTTCTGGGCAGTCGCCGGCCACCTAAATTAGGACCCCACCTGGAGCAGCAGTGACGCGGCGCTCGTTACGGTCAGTAAAGAAAAAAAACAGCGCCATCTTCGGCGTATAGGGGGAATTTTGACAAGTACAGGTACTTGTCAAAATGCCCTATATCGGCCCCGATACTGATGCTTGTATCGGTATCGGACATCCCTAGTCCCTATCATACATACATAGTTTATTTAGACAAGAGCCAAATAACCTTCCAGAATGTCTTTGAAGTGTGGGATGAAACCTACACAACACACAAGCACAGGGAGAACATGCAAACTGGGATTTGAACCAGGGACCCCCAGTGCTGCAAGGCAGAAGTGCTAACCACTAAGCCGCTGTGTGATTCCTCTATTGGGGAATTGTGTTTCACAAACGAGAGAACGAGAACCTGAAAAATATAACCATTTACAGATTGTATGTCTGTGAAGGTTCTCATTCTTCCAGGTCATGGTATATCTGTAAAAAAGAAGTCAAGGCAAATGGACTTGCTGTATTTTTCTTGAAGATGTTTCACTGGTCATCCAACCAGCTTTCTCAATTCAGAATGACTCGTACAAAAACTCTCTGGGAATAAATATGGTGAATGTCGCTCCAATCCACATAATCTGTTAGTCACAGCCAGGTGTTGATTGCATTTGTATAATTTGAGTCTAGGAGGTGTTATTAACCTGCCCAGAGAGAGGTGTTAAAACAGCATTGTATGTGGCAGACAATAGATGTCTCACCCTTAAAACTTGCGGGTATCCAGACTGGGCTTTTGTCACTACGAAAAAAAGTAGAGGAAAGAATGCCAAGAGTACTACTAGTGAGGGTGAAAAGCATGACAGACAGAAGTTTGGTCATCCCATATGTAGCTGGGGTGTCTGAGAAACTCTGAAGGGTTTTAAAAAAAACATCACATCCCCGTCTGCTTTAAACCCAGCGATACACTGAGACAACAACTGGTTCACCCAAAAGACCCAACGCCAAAACACAAGATGAACATTGTGTACGCAGTCCAGTGCAGTGAGGAGTGCTCATTGGTGGCACCCACAAAGGGAATTTCAGCTGGTTTATGCTCGGTGAGAATCAGAGTGGGAAATGTGTCTGTGGGTTTTGTGCACCTTCTGGTTGCTGATGTTTGGGAAATTGATTGTACAAGATAGATTTTTCCAATCGGTTAGTGTCACTTTTGAGATATCAATGTCATGGGTGTTGATTGGGTGTGTGACTTCCCCCGATAGGATAGCTGCACATACCGACGGCTGTCTGTTTAGAAGTAATAACGATGTAACCTCTGTTCTGACACTCTACCTTCTGTGCTAAAAAGTGAATGGACAGTTTTTGTAATATATATATTTTTTATTTTTTTTAGGGCTGTTATGAACTAATTGTGACAAGAGACTTCAGAACAGATTTGTGGCCCTCTACAGAACATTGACAAGTGATTCAAGATGGCTCATTTACACAGAAACACAGTTAGTATATTACTGCTTACTGGGAAGAGCTCACCGTTTCATTCATCTTATTGGTTTTCTAGGACCGCCTCAACATTTGTTCATTTTAATTGAATATTGAATAGATCTGATCATCCAACTATTCATTCTCCTTTATATTTAAAGTGGAACTACGACCTCCTATCCTTTGCAGCCAAGGAAGGTGCCATCTTAGCCTGTATTTGGATTGCAGTTGCCATGGTGCTACACATGTGATCAGTTATGACGCCAGACATTTGAGGGCTTGGAAGTTCGGTTGAGAGCTGAAATACAGTGTGGCAAATAATGATTTGATCCTCTGCAGATTTTGTTTTGCCCGCTTACAAAGAAATAAAAGGTCTATAATTTTTTTTATCATAGGTGTATTTTAAATGGTAGAAACAGAATATCAACCAAAAATCCAGAAATAACACATGATACAAATGTTATACATTGAGCTGCAGTTCACTGAGTAAAATAAATATTTGATCCCCAAGCAAAACATGACTTAGTACTTGGTGGAGAAGCCCTTGTTGGCAAGCACAGAGGTAAGACGTTTCTTGTAGTTGGTTACCAGGTTTGCACACATCTCAGGAGGGATTTTGGTCCACTCTGCTTTACAGATCTTCTCTAAACTCGAAGTTTCAGCTCCCTCCATAAATTTTCTATAGTATTAAGGTCTGGAGACTGGCTAGGCTACTCCATGACCTTAATGTGCTTCTTCAGCCACTGCTTTGCTGCCTTGGCTCTATGTTTTGGGTCATTGTCATGCTGAAAGACCCATCCACGACCCATCTTCAGTGTTCTGGCTGAGGGAAGGAGGTTCTCATCTAAGATTTTAAAATACATGGACCCGTCCATTGGCCCCTCAATGCGGCAAAGTTGGCCTGTACCTTTTAGCAGAGAAACAGCCCGAAAGCATAATGTTTCCACCTCCGTGCTTGACTGTAGGGATGGTGTTCTTGGGGTCATAGCATTTTTCGTCCTCCAAAAAAGGTGAGTCAAGTTAATGCCAAAGAGCTCAATTTTGGTCTCATCTGACCGTAGCACTTTCTCCCAATCCTTCTCTGAATCATTTTTAGATGTACATTGGCAAACTTCAGACGGACCTGTACATGTGCTTTCTTGAGGAGGGGGACCTTGCGGGAGCAGCAGGATCTCAATCCCTGGTGTATTGTGTTACCAATGGTTTGTTTGGTGACTGTGGTTCCAACTACCTTGAGATCATTCACAAGCTCCTCCCGTGTAGTTCTGGGCTGATCCGAGGGCGATTGATGGTTATTTTGTATTCCTTCTATTTGTGAATAATTGCTCCAACAGTTGTTTCCTTCTCCCCAAGCTTCTTGCTGATAGTCTCGTAGCTAGTCTAAACAGACCCCTGATATTTAGCGTTTAACATAAAGAGATTGAGGACACAGAGTCGTCAATGTTTTTTTCTGCAGCCCCTGTTATGAATAAACAGGAAGCCTCTATACTGAGTGCTCTTGTCCATTCATAAACTCATGGTATGAGTTACTATGTCCACAATCATGAATGAACAGGAAGTGATGTAGAGCGCTTTCGTCTCATTCCTAATAGGGGTTACAGTAACTCATACTATATTGTGTAACAATCGGTACTGATTGCTGTGTGAGTGTTTGTGCTCTGCTCTCCATCCAGACTGCTCCACTTGTCACAGGAGTGGTGCTTTCATCCTGCACCACCCCGCTTGGCCTCCTAATAGCTGTCTCCTCCCCGCTCGACCTCCTGACAGGTTTTCTCTTCCCCGCTGGGCACCGGCAGCTGGATCGGCTCAATGCCCCTCTGATCCCCACTGCTTCTGCACAGGCACAGGCAGGCGAGAGCTGCGTGGATCGGAGGGGACACAAACGGAAGCTTGCAGCTGTCACCCACCAGGGAGGAGAGAAGCTAGGGATTCACCCGTTTTTGTACTATCGGTATTTTGCCCAGAATATCAGCCATCTCATGAGATTACAGATAAGATTTTCCAGCAGTGCTCTGCTGATGTAACCTTCCCAGGATGCAATACTTGGGCAAGATTACAGAATTTGTGCCAGAAGTGGACCAGGAAGTAGATGAATTCTATTGTAAGTAAATGAAAAACAAATTTGTTTAATGAATGTAAGATGATTATAAATCAGCATGCAGAGCTGCACACTGATGTGATTTTTTAGTAAAAGGGGGGTAAAGGTCCACTTTAAATTTTCAAATTAATTTGTCTACCTGACGTCCTGCGCTTGCTGGGGACCTTGTGGCAGTCTTCTGGGGACCACATGGCGTCTGCTGACACCACTTCCGCCGCCTGCACATCTCCCCTTTCTGAGACCCTTTGCCCGAGACATCAGGCTGGCACCCCGGAGCAGAGAAGCAGCACAAAGTGTGTAGCAAATTCATACTCTTTTTCTGCAGTGCTGTATAATGTATTGCTGGGATTTGGAGCCTTCAATGGCTGATGGTATTCTAATAATACCATCAGCTATAGAGGAATGTGTTCCTGAGATTTGTAGTCCCTCTACAGCTTGGAGTCGGTGGCAAGGCTACGAGGGTTTCAGCTGCAACCTGGCCCTGGTGCTCCACCATTGCCCTAAAATCATTAGTCTCTATTGTTTTAGAAAAACTGTCCGTTGGTATTGGCGAGTACTTGAGGAAAAGTATCGGTACTCTGTCTGGAAAATTGGTATTGGTGTATCCCTAATCCTTAGTTAAAACCCTATGAAACTTTTTGGGAGAATGCTAAATTTTAGGGGTACTTAAACTTTTTATGGGGACCTAAATATAAAACAATTTCCATACTTGCGCCCAATAAGTGAATAATGAACAAAATGTCAGCAAAGCCGCACGATGATGAGTAGCAATGGCCTTTCCCATATTAGTTTCTCATTTTTAAAGCAGTTAATTAAAAAGCTAACATATTGGTAATAAAAATATTTACAATTTTTAAAAAAAGTATAGATTCCTGCATTGTAAGTATAGCTGTATACTCTAAACTCTTATTGTTTTTCTGTATAATGCTGTTCGATGTTCTGTTGTCAGATCTGTGAATGTGCTCATATGGTGAATTGATATACATAGTATATGTGTAAATGTTTCTGTATGACCATTAGTGTGGAAATGCAACAATGTAACTGTTACAGCGCCGTCTGCTGGGCTGCGAGGGAATATCCGGTCTGAGTCTGCTGCATTCGGCAGCGGGTAAGAAGCTGGGGATGTTGAGTGCCAGTCTATCACGTACTGTAGGGAGCGATGAAGGTGAAGATGATGACGATGATGTGGAAGATGTAACTGAAATCTCAGATACAGAGGAGTCGGTATGTGATTGAGTATATGGACCTAAGTTGCTGTGTTGCTTGGAATGCACATTCAATTTGTTTTATTAGGTTTTCAAATTGCAATAGGTACAGAAACAGTCTAGTAACAATTGCACAGTGGAGTAACAATTGCCTGAACGTCGGCGGCATATATTACAGTACATCGAACAGCAAAAAAAGGGAGGGGGGGGGGAAGCATTCAGGCAGTTGTTGTTGATGTCCAGTGGGTATATTGGTTGCTTATGAGGGAGATATTATAGACATTGCTCTGCTCATTTCAATAGTTTTATTTGAATCTGACAATCTACAGCCATAATCCGGCTGGGGGACATTTGTACTTTGAGACAGCTAAGAGGGTTTTTTGTAGAGATTTTTCACTGACTTCTTTTTTTTTTCCCCGTCAGAAGTGATGGAAACGCTTTCCAATGGGACACAACATAAATAAAATTGATAGTGGATTTGAAGTGACTGGGTTGAAAGTAAAATTACTCCAGCCTGTAAAATGAGATGCTGCTTACAGGCAGTCCTCGAGTTAGATTCATCCGACTTACATAGGACTCCTACTTATAAACGGAGGCTATTACTGTACAGCAGGGGTAGTTGTAATGCTACCGTGCTCGTGCCGACGAGGAGTGCCCACTTTTTTGGGTCTGGTTTGTATTACTGTACGTACATTACAGGAAGTTGGCTCTTGTTAGACGTGCAGACGAGGGGTGCCCACCTCTTCTTCCGGGTCACTGTGAGGTTTTTACTGCCGCCTGTATCCTCATTAGAAAGATGTAATATCACTTCCTGTCCTTGAGACAACAGGAAGTGAAAGGACATCTACCCCTAGGAAGGGAAATTCACTCCTGTAACAGTGATCATGGGAAAAAGGTGTCTCCACTAAAGCTTTATCAATAATCCTTGTTTCTACGACAACCCATAATTTTCACAATCCGGATGTCACAGGGACAGAAAGTGAGGTGAAATCTTCTGGACAGGGGCACACACAGCAAAACAAACTTTGCAGGGATTAAACCGAAAACAAAAAAAAACAAAAAGATTTTGGCTGGAGTTGCACCTAAAAAATGTACCTGTCCCAACTTGCATACAAATTCAACTTAAGAACAAACCTGTAGTCCCTCAATTGGTCGTAACCCAGGGACTGCCTGTACTTACCTTTCTGATGACCTGTGTGGTAAAACTCTGCTGCATTGCTGATCTCCAGCTGATGCATTTAGTCTACACTGCTCCCCCACCGGACGCTGTGATTTCTACTGCTGGCTTGTAGGTCACTAAAGGATGTACAAGCTGGTTGTAGGAACCTCAGCATTTGGTGGGAAAGCAGGCATTCCACACATGGAAGTGTTGGATACTTACATCTGTTGGGTGATCAGCAATACAGTTTTACATCACACAAACACACAGGCCACCAGAGAGCTAAGTACATACCATCTTGTGTTACAGGCTGGCTTTTTTTTTTTTTTCTTTCAACCATGTACTGACAGGGTAACATTAACCATTTTCTAATATTGAAAACTAAAGAAAGGTTTGCATACCATACACAAACATTTCTCCTGTTTTCTCTACATTATTTCTTAGGTTGTGTTTTGTCATTTGCTTCTTCAGATTCTTTTTATATCTGCTAATTCCTTCATTTTTTTTGTAGGAACAACGTAAAGAGACTTCAAAGCCAATTCTTCTTAGAGATCAGCCTTCTTTGGTTTCCAAAGCTAGCAAAACCCACAAGAAGGTATGGATGTTAAGTGACGGAGAATAATGTTTTTTCTTGTTTTTGAGATCGAGAAAAACAATGGTGCGTTTCTTTGAATTCTATTGTGAAACGAAAAGTTTTCTTGAAAAAGTTTTTGTGTGTTTGCATTCATTTTGCTGTAAATTCTGTTTAACAATTTTTTAATATACAAACTTTTATAGATATGCATTCCCACTCAGCCTGTAAGTTAAGCTACTCATTTACTTATGACTATTTTAATTTAACATATTTGATTAAAAACTATACGTAGAGTTGTTGTTTTTTAACTTTTGAATTTAAAGTGACACTAAACTCAGGAGTTAAACTTTAAAAATGTATTCATGTCCCTTGCCTAATAACAATGTATCTTATTTGTGTATCACTCGGCTGTAAGTTCTCAAATCATCTCTGAATTGGTGCCGACTGTCCTTCCTTCTGGAGGGTGGCTTCTTTTGTTCCCCATGGTCCCCTTGTGTTGTAAAGTAGTCGCAAAGCAAAAGACAACTGGGAAACCCAAGGAGAGCAAAAAAGGAAAAAATGTTTACGTTCAAAACTCAAGGCTGCTGGATCTACAGTTCAAAAATCCTTAAAGCAGGACAATTCAATGTATATGTACACACACATAGTTTGCTGTTTTCCAAATGGACTCTCTCTTTGCTGACAAAACTATCAAAGACCAAATTGTTCCCACTAATCAACATCATTAAAGAGTCCAGATGGAACACATGTTTGTTGAATCAATGGTCAATAAAAAGCCATAACGTTTGTGTTTAAAAAAATATAGATATTTTATTAAACCCCCAAAAAGGGCCCCATCTGGACTCTTTAATGACGTTGATTGGTGGGAACCATATGGTCTTTGATAGTTGTAAAGTAGTATATGCAGAATTCTAAAAAAAGATAATGCACATAGAGCCGAATTGTTTTTTATTTATCATTTGTTGGGGGGGAGGGGGGTTATGGGGACCAATATATTCTTTAGAATTGGATATCTGCATATATATGTGATTTTTGGGGGTTTAATAAAACATTTATATTCTATTTAAACACAAAGATTATGGCCTTCTTTTTGACCATTGATTAAACAAACATTTTCCATCTGTACTCTTTGATGACGTTGATTGGTGGGAACCATTTGGTCTTTGATAGTTGTAAAGTAGTCACCGCTCCAAGCTCACTCCCATGATGGACTATAATCTCATATTTAGTTTACTAAATTGTATTGAAATTATAGTCTATCATGGGAGCGAACTTGGAGCGGTGACTACTTTACAACACACACGGACCATGGGGAACAAAAGTAGTCACTCTGCAGAAGGAAGGAAGGACAGTGTCAGCAGCAATTCAGAGACGATTTGAGGATCTACAGTCGGGTGATACACAAATAAGATTCATTTTTGTTCATAAAGTACTTGAATGCATTCACTCAGGAAAGTTTACCTTCTGAGTTTAGTGTCATTTTAAAAGACTGTATAGTCCAACAAACTCTTTTGTTGCAGATGGTGCTAGCAGAGGAGAACAATCCATATTCACTACATATACCCAAGAATTTCATCTGTGAGCACTGCTATGGGGCCTTCAGGAGCAGCTACCATCTCAAGAGGCATATATACATCCACACAGGTAAGGTTAAAATACATTGAAGGTAATTTATCATAACTGAAACAGAATCTGGAGCAGTTGACCATTGCAATCAATCAGCTTTTCATCTCAATGCTTAACTGAACAAACTGAAAAGAGAAGCTGATAGGTTGCTATGGGCAACTGCTCCAGATTCTGCCTCCTCCAGTTTTGATACATTTCCTCCAATGTGCCCTTGGCTTTGAATAGTGCCTTGCCTGTACAATATCCATGTGACATGCTGTTTTGTAGGAGAGCGCCCATATGAGTGTGACATGTGTGACATGAAGTTTATTCAGAAGTACCATCTGGACAGACATAAACGGGTCCACAGTGGAGAGAAACCATACCAATGCGAGCGATGCCAGCAGGTAAATACCCTCATTCACTTTATTTTTTGCTGTTCTTTTCTTGGTCTTGGGAAATAATTGTAAACTAAACGTAAGATATACATAAAGTCATTATTATTTGTGCAGTGCTTCATCAGACAGCAGCAGGGGTGACCTTTGTTATAGGGTTCTTTAAATGAACTCCAGCGCCAACCATCAAAGGGGTGCATGACATAATTTTATAATGTACTTAGCATCCAGTTTCAGAACACTTTTAAGGCCTGCCAGCTTATTTGTCAAAGATATTGCTTAACCGAAATGCCCAGTAATTAAAAAGTAGCCATTCCAGGTTGTGCTAAGGACCCGGTCTTCCATGCTGCATAATATGGGTAACAATAGATGGGATTTATAAACTACAGTGCTTTCTTTATGCTCCACTAGTAAGGTATTTCTGACGTGGCATTTTAAAGTCCTGTCTGCATGTCTAAAAATGTTTAAACATTTTTCTGAAGTTTTCTAGCTAAACAATGCAAAGATAAAATGTCAGAAAACTATCTCCGGTCTTTATTTCTTGCTCTATACCAGGACTAGGCAATTCCTGTAACCAGGTAGCAATTGTGGCTAAAGAAACTCTGGTGATCGGGTCATTGACAGTGTAGGATTTGCTGTAGTCAGCGCTCCTGTATAAATATAAACATAACTCCTCTGCTCCTCAGCTGCTCCTCTCCTGACTATCTCCTCCTATTCACATACAGCCAGAAGTATGCCTATCTAAACTAACAGACACAGCTTTACCCAAATGTGACCAATGGAAGACCGTAAACTAGGCGCTGAGTTTACAAGGTTACATAATCCAGTACATGGGAGCTTTTTATTTTATTTTTACTTGAATAATCCCACTTATGTCTACTAAAGGAATTGTATGTCAAACGGATTTTAATTTTATTCTGATAAAACATTATGATGCTTTTGGATTTTTGCAGAGTGTTCACATTACATTCCAGAATTAAATCGCATTCCATTTATCGGACAATAAAAGATTCAAAATATTGAATATACTTGCGTGATACCCTTAGTTGAAGTGAAGCCCCATTCACCGAGGGCATTCTGGCATGCCTGTGGCAAGACCCTGTGGATTCCTTCAGCAAGAATGCCAGATGTCCCTGTTCAGATGCAGCTCCTGTACCTGTTCAAATTAATTGCAGCAGCCGTATCTGTCGGGGGCATTCTACATGTAATCGTACATGGTACGATTTACATATAGTTTGGGATAGATGATTGTCCGTGGATGCATCTAACCTGCGTCCAGCAGCAATCATCTATCCCACATCGCATGTAATTATACAATGTATGATTACATGCGGATTGCCGCTGAGAGATGTGGCTACTGTCACCCTGTCATTAACTTCAATGCTGCAGCAATTCTCCGTAGGTTCTTGCCGCAGGAATCCCAGAACATGGCATGTGTCCCCATATGAATGGAGATGAATAAATGTCACCAGCACACCACCAGTATTGCAGTCCAAAGAGTTAATTGGTGACATGACATTCCAATGAACAAACTCTTTGGGCTGCAATACTGGTGGTGTGCTGGTGACATTTATTCATCTTTATACTGTTTGGCGGCGCCATCCGCGGGTCACTACAAGCACCCCGCCTCATTTAAAGGAGAACTATGAGGTGAGTGCTTTTCACTCACCTCATAGTTCTAGCCGACCTGTGACAATGAGACTGTCACAGGTCGGCTCAGTAGATCGGGAGGTGAGCGAACACATACCGTCGTTCGCTCCCCTCTGGATCCTGTCACGGCTCTCTGCCGTGACAGGGGAGGGGCTGGATTCCTCTCCGCTCCGATCCGCGAGCGCTGACTGGCGGAACGGACGGGGGAGGGGGCGGGTACAGCTGGCTCTGCCTCTAGATAGGCAGAGCCAGCTGTCAGTCACGCAGCTGGTCACGCAGCTGGGCGGATCCAGACATAATTGTCAAGATCCGCTTCAGCTGCGGCGTCTCAGTATACCGCGAGCTACAGCTTGCGGTATACTGAGCCTAGGGTGACGGGAGGACGCTAGTTTGTGTCCTCCCGTTACCCTAAGGAGAACTATGTGGAAAGCCTTAACCCCATAGTTCTCTAACGGTGGGTTTTTCCGGTAAGGAGTGCGACATGGTATCTTTTTGTTTGTCCCATATGAATGGGGCCCAAGCCTATTTAGATGGGAACTATTCAAGAGGAATTCTCACGAGGGTTAAATTCTGCTTACTCTTTTGTGCAGGAAGCTGCTACTATTTAGTAATCTATTTAATCAATTTGTTGATGTTCTAATCTGTTTCCTTGACATAATCTGTGTTCCCTCTTCTTTGTTAGGCCTTTTCACGGACAGACAGACTTCTGAAACATAAGAGGATGTGTCAGGGATGCCACACCAACATTGGCGAGTCAGAGTATGTGTTGTAGTGTATTACTGTATACCGGACGCCACGTGTTCTCTGCGTCAAGTATGACTTTTCTGACTCAGGACTCCTATCCTGTGTCCTGCTATTTCAAGCATCTGAAAAGACTAACCCAAAGCAAAGGGACTGATAGTAAAGTGACAAACGTATACCCATAATCCTCTGCATTTAATTCAAAATACGTAAACCATTGCATATGGCTAGTGACCATAGACCTAGTTCTAAGAGGGATCTCGTTAACACGGCTTTACACTTGAAAATGGAACCTCTAATATTCATTTACAGGAAGTGCATATTATTCTTTATAACATACACACTTCTGATTGAAAGAATGATAGTATAAGATCATCAAGGTATCCAGATATATTTTCCTTTCACTGTAAATTCTTCTGTGAGTTACAAAAAATCTCGTAGTGACAGGCTTTTTATAGAAAAAAAAGATCTGCCGGTTCACAAAAAAGTATTTAAATACGTTAACAAAAAAAAAAAGTTAACTAAGGGCCAGTTCACACCATATGCAGTTGTGATGCAGTCTGTTTATTTTGACTGCTGCAGTCAAAATACATCACAATGCTTTCCTATGGGCTTTCTTGTGCCTAATTCACACCATTGCAGTCAGTTCAACTGCAGTCAGAAAAAGTATCGCTTGTCCTACTTTAACTGCATCAAAACGTGGTTCAAACGCACCGGAACGCGTTGCAAACGCATTTTTAAAAAATGACTCAGATTTGAATGTCATCATCCAGGGACTTCCTGGTTGTAGTGTGGAGAGAAATAGCAGAGAAGGAAGGTGTGGATGCTGAGGAATTTATCCGATATGTGCGGGACTGTCCCCTGCTGTACGACAGCAAACATCCCCAATATAAAAACAATCGTCAGAAGTTGGCCAAGTGGAGAGAGATTTGTGAAAAGTTGAACCCTGATTTTGGTGCGATGAACAGGCTACAGAAACAGCAATGTGGTGAGTCCACTTTTGCTCAAACATATAAAGAAAGCATGACTGAGCTCCCAAACGAACAAAACAAGCGTAGGAAATGCTCTGATAGGAAAAGGAAGTGACCTGCATGCCTAATTAGCATTTTCTAGTGCAGAACAAAAACGTATCAAACGCATTGCATCAAAACAGATCTCAGTGTAACTGCGCAGACGTATGCGGTTGTGATGCAGTTTCTGGTGTGAACTAAGCCTAATAGTGAAATATGTACAATATATTTTTCTGTGGGGCAGTGGCAAAAGCTAACACTCCCTCTTAAAAAGTGTATAAAAGTAGTGGGATTACATTTCACAATGACTGTTTAAACTGAAGTCTTCTGTGTGGATGACTAGTATTTCTACTTGTAAAATAAACTCTTCTGCACTTATCAATCACTGTATATATTTTGTCTTGCGGATAAGCGAGATTGACAAAAATTATTTTAAAAGGATGTGATGTACATTTTTTTACATCCCTAAGATAAATAATATACCGAGATGCAGTCATTATAATTGTTCCCATCTATTTTGTTCATAGCGGGAATTTAGACATTGAGAGAAATCTAAAGACTGCTATTGTTACTCTCCTTCTGAAAATGCTTTGTGCCTGGTTATTATGCTGGCTTCATACAGATCTGGAAAATCACGGTACAGTCTGAACGCCTCATCCGCCCACTTGCTTTAGATTACGTTTAGTTTACTAATTTGTATTGAGATTGTAGTCCATCACAGGAGTGAGCTTGGATCGATGACTACTTTACAACACACACAGGGACCATGGGGAACAAAAGTAGCCATCCTCCAGAAGGAAGGACAGTGTCAGCACCAATTCAGAGATGATTTGAGGATCTACAGCTGGGTTATACACAAATAAGACAAATAAGACATTTTTGCAAATAAAGTACTTGAATACATTCACTTAGGAAAGTTTAACTTCTGAGTTTAGTGTCACTTTAAAGTGTTACAGCCGAGTGATACACAAAAAAGGTGCCATATTGTTAATAGTTTGGGTACCTGAATGCATTTTAAAGGAGAACTATGGGGTCAGGGCTTTTCCCCATAGTTCTCCTAAGGGTAACGGGAGGACACAAACTAGCGTCCTCCCGTCACCCTAAGCTCAGTATACCGCGACCTACAGCTCGCAATATACTGAGACGCCACAGCCGGGACGGATCCCGACATTCCTGACTAGTAGTCCATCACTGGAGCCATTTAAAAAAAATGTATTTTATTGTTTATCCGATTAATCGAACTTAATAATCGGCTAACTAATCGATTTTGAAAATAATCGTTAGCTGCAGCTCTAAGGATGAGTGAAAAGCACTCACCTTAAAGTTCTCCTTAAAATGACACTTACCTCAGGAGTTAAATTTTAAAAGCGTTTCCCCACATTTGCAGCCAAATTTTGAGAAATACCCCCCTCTATATATTTATTTTATGTTTCCATTCACACAACCGACTTAAAAAAATATATTTGTTTTTTAAATCTTACCTTTCTAATTGTTTCTTTGGAGCAGGTTTATACCTAGGATTCTCCAAACAGCTTGAATGTCAGAAAAACTGGCTGCATAATACACTATAGGGATACTTGGGGACAGCTATCTTTAATGTGCATTACCATAGAATGTGCCACTCAGGTCTTAAGATATTTAACTCTTTGTTAGGACTGTGTGTCCATAAGATTTGCCAGCACAGTACATGCAAGGGTTAATTATGGTAAATGTGACCCCAGTTGCCTCCTATAGAACGGTAGGGCTAAGTAACATTTTTTATAGGATATTATTAGCAAATAATATAATGAGCAATTTTAAAATAATGTTCAAAGTTATGCTATATGAATGGGCACGGAACAAATATGAAGTCGGCATTGTCCAAATTTGGCTGCAATAATCGATATACTCTTGAAGGCTCTGTATGACAGCCAGGCACATAGCTTTCACAGAATAAGGAATTGGCAATGGCGGCCTCCACATTTCTCTCAGGAAAGATTTCATTTAATTTTTCTTACCAGTCACTTGCAGACTTTTCCATTTCTAAGGCTAACATGAATGTGCTTAGATCATGAAAGCTACAAGCTTACTGTTTAAAAGTGCATAATAATTTGTTCCTGTGAATGCAAAGTGTCTTTCAAAACACCCTTTTCATGATTTCTTAGTCAACCTAACCACATGAAAGGTGCTAAAATCTGTATGATAAGGTGGTGTCCTAGTTTCAAAAGTCTGTATAAACAAAATGCTTTAAATCAAATTTTGCATTCCGTAGAAGCAAAGCATTAATTCATCCTGTGCAGACACCAGAGGTTTTTACATGGGTGCCTGCTGAGCATCTGCAACCCGCCTCTGTTTATAGTTTTAATTTTTTCTATTTTATAGCATTATAACTTTCAGGTAAAAATTAGTGTTGGAAAAATCTCTGAAATATTCAAATTCTTCTGGAGTGTTTCTGGTAGTGTTAGTAAAATTCCCTGCTGACTATCGGCTTTAAAAAGGTTTTATTGCTGCACTAAAGAAAAGCCTGCATTCTCCATAAACATTTATCATCTGTCAGCCTGCACTCTGTGTAAACATTGATCATCAGTCACCCTGCACTCTCTGTAAACATTGATCATCAGTCACCCTGCACTCTCTGTAAACATTGATCATCAGTCACCCTGCACTCTCTGTAAACATTGATCATCAGTCAGCCTGCACTCTCTGTAAACATTGATCATCAGTCAGCCTGCACTCTCTGTAAACATTGATCATCAGTCACCCTGCACTCTCTGTAAACATTGATCATCAGTCAGCCTGCACTCTCTGTAAACATTGATCATCAGTCAGCATGTGTCTGGCAGATGTGTTATCAGTGAGTGAAACAGACGCATTGCTGCAAAGAGACATTAAGTTCTACACAGACTCAACCTCCCAGCAAAACGTTTTTTTTATTTGGCTCTCATTTTTGTAGTTTCATTTTTGGCTCTCATAATTGTAGTCCATAGGATAAGAAATACTTATGTTCTTGCTATTTATGTTGTTTATCTGGGGAATTAGGGATTTTTGCCAGTTGTCAAATGTTGCATTATGTATTTGGAAGTGAGAAACATTTTTCTGGCTACATATATTGCCAAATTGGTATTAAGTTCATATTGAAAATAATGTTTTAGTTGTATATATTCCACAATACAAGTTGAGTTGACATTATGTGCTATAAAACATTTGGTACTTTTGCAGCTGGGGGTGCTAATGAACACTGCAGTTTCCTACCATGGGGGCTCCTCAACCAATCTCCTCTGTAGAATACCAGTTGGGAGTTTGGTGTACCAGCACAAATACAATTTTTGCTCGGAGTAGTAGATCAAAGTAATTATTACTTGGAGCTACAATATCACAAGCTGGGGTGGCACATTTAAAGCAGAACTCCGGGCAAAAAAAATCTTAACCCTTGCATTGTGGTTACCCCAGCTGTGCAAGGGTTATACTCACCCAAACCATAATCCTGGCTGGCTCCTAGACCACTCCCTCCAGTTGGTCTCCGCACTCTACACTGTGTAGAACATGGTGACTCGCAATACCTTAGAAGGCTGGAGTGGAGGAGGAGACAGGCTGAAGGGACCGGTCTAAGAGCAAGCCGGGATCAAGGTTCAGGTGAGTGTAACTGTTATTTTAGCTCCCATGCAGTGCAGGGGGTAACCCCACTGCAAGAGTTAAGATATTATTTGCCCGGAGTTTTAACACATACTGTTCTACATCATAGCACATAAATGTTTATTCCAACTCCTTTCAAAAACTCTGGGTTGGAAACATTTTGTAACTTCAGGCTATCCGAGACAAAAATAAAAGGAAAATCAAATGTTATAAAACATTTGTGTTTAGAAATAAACATTCAGCTCTGATTAGCAATTGTAAAGAAGTTATTTAGATATTAAAGCCAGTAGAAATTATTTTCAATACATTTTAACACACCCATTGACATGGCTAATGATAAATTGAAGGGAGTGGGCGCAGTACACCAGCATTATTATATATAGGTTCAGCCATGTGCTGGGTCTGCATGATGAGTGTATATAATACAAAGTCAAATGTATTTGTGTAAAGCTCTGCTTATCATTTTTAGGAAACCATTTGGATGGTCCATTAAAATTTGCAATTGCTCTGTTTAGCAGTTCATAGGATAGGCTCATGAAAATGGGTTACCTAATTTAATATTTGAATCACAGTGGTACTTTTGTTCTTTCTGTGTCTGTTTAACATTGGG